AACAGCCGCCGCCGCCTTCCCCGCCTTCCCCGCTGCCGCCGCCGCTTCACCCGGCGCCGGGGAAACAGCGGGAGGAGAAGAAAACGGCGCTGAGCAAAGTGAGGGGGCTCGGGGATCGGGGCGGGGGCGGCTCCGGTGTGAGATGGGAGAGGATGGGAGAGAGGCTGCAGTGAGGAGACAGACCCAGCCTGATCTCGGGAGCTTCGTGTGTTTATAACGGGTATTTCTTCATCTGCAGAATGAGGGTGTTCATTCCCTGGAGTATTGGGAGACCCCCAGCGTCAGCGCTGGAAGTCATTTCACCTTTAATTGTGAAGTCGAGGATGGCTATTGCTGTGGCTGAGCACCTTCTGTCAAGGGCAAGAGCACATCTCTCTAATCCGTCTTTATTCGAGCACTTTTCAAATAATACTTGCCGACTATAACAGGTTGTGCAGGGATTTCACGGTGTCTGCCTGGCTGGAGATGTTCAGAACCCACCTGGACATGTCCCTGTGGCACCTGCTCTAGGTGACACTGCCTTGGCAGGGGGGTTGGACCAGAGATCTCTTCCAACCCTGACAATGCTGTGAGTCCTTGAGTACTGTGAGATTTTATTTATTCCCGGGGTTTTTTTACTTGGAAAGCTGAATCACTGAAAATTACTGTAACTCAGAGCTCAGTAAAGTTAAATTCAGATATTAGACTATTCAGAAATTAAAACAGATTGCCTAAAGCTTGATGGCCATTTTACTGCTTTGTGTGCTGGCATCATTCAGCCAGAGGTGTTTCTACAGCTTCCTGGCCTTTATTATTGGGTAGTTTAGCTGGGTGTGATGGGTTGACTCCGGGTAGCCGACCTCCAGCCATGCACACATGCTCATGCACTCCTCCCTCAGCAAGACCCAGGAATAAGGTATGATGGAAAAAACAAAGTGTCATCACAGGAAAAGCTGACACAGCTGAGGAAGGACTTCATAGCAGCTTCTTACAGCTTTCTCACAAAGGAAGATGGAGTGGCAGGCACTGATGCTTTCTCTCTGGTGGCCAGTGACAGGATGTAAAGGAATGTCATGAAAATGCATCTGGGGAGGTTTAGGTTGCATATAGAAAAAGGTTCTTCACCCAGAGGGCAGTTCAGCACTGGAACAGCTTCCCTGGGAAAATGGTCAGCACTAAGCCTGGCACTAATCATTTGGCCAATGCTCTCAGGCACAGGGTGTGATTCTTGGGGCAGGGCCAGGAGCAGGACTTAAATGCCTCTTGTGGGTCCCTTCTAACTCAGGATACAGTACAGTTCTAACATGGATAGAATTTACTTACTTCATGGCTAATTAAAAATTTGAGAAGACTGTTGAGAAAAAAAGATTGCAACTAAAAAACCTTTCCACCTCCCCTCTTCCTTCCCAGGCTCAACCTCCTCTACCTGGAAGCACTGCAGAAGGGTGAGGAATGGGAGTTGCAGACAGGATGTAACAGCTCCTCTCTGCTGCTCCTTCTTCCTCACACTCCTTCTCCTCTCTGGCATGGGGGACCTGACAAGAGACACAACGGGATAGAGTCCTTCATGAAGTGCTGCAGAAGTGTCCTTCCCACGTGCTCTAGTTGTTCATGACCTGCTTCAGCATGAGTCTCCTTCATGGGCTGCAGGCCTTCAGGATAAGCCTGACCCAGTGTGGACTCCTCTGCACAGGCTGTAGGAGCTATCAGGGCATCTCCACTTGCTGTGTCATGGGGTCCCCCATTATTTGCAGGTTGATGTCTGCTCCACTGTAGTCCTTCATGGCATATGGGGGAGCAGTGTGCCCCTCACCATGATCTCTTTCAAGGGACTCTGCTTTGGCACTTGGAGGACTTCCTCCCCTCCTTCTCCTTTCTTTTTTGTCTGTAGGTCGGTGTCTTTGACATTTTTTTGCCACCCTTACTCCTCTGTCTCACCCACTGCTGTGCTGCCTTTCCTGTCCATTCTAAAGTACCTGAGCTTAAGGAGCTCAGCTGTGCCCTGGGGTGGATCCACTGGAATATGCTGTACTTAACACTGGGCAGCCCCAGCATCCTCTCAGAGGGTACCCTGAAACCCCTGGCAGGAGCAACTGGACACAGAGACCTGTTACACTAAAATACTGCTGAAACAAGACTTAAAAGCTAGTTTAAATCAGTTTTCAGACATACTTTAAAATTTTTATGTAATCAATATCTATTTTTTATGTTTTTGATGATGAAATTGCAATGGTTCTCAGGCTGTTCATCAGAATATGTCACTTATCCTACAATTTTAAAACAATTGCAGAAACTGAATCTGGGAATTTATGCCATCTGTTTCTACAGTATTTAGATCAATTATAAATCTCCATTTTTATTTTTTTTTTAATATATGCAGGTGGTTATTCGAAGGCTTCCTCCTTGTCTAACCAAGGAGCAACTGGAGGAGCAGCTGCATCCTCTACCTGCCCATGATTATTTTGAGTTTTGCACTGCTGATCCCAGGTGAGGATGAACTGTTTCTGTAGGTTTTCAAGTGCTGAAAACCTAAACAAGGTATTTGGGACATTCCAAATCACATGTTTTTCCTCTTCTTATTATTTTTGTTGAGTTACTGTTATGGCCTGCCTCAGAAAGTGGGTATAATCCAGGTTCTTGTTACTAAATCCCTGGGAGCACATTAGTGTGAAACAATGCTGAATGATCACTATTTGTAAATAAACAATGTAGGGTTTATTATAGAACAATGTGGCTGCAAAGGAAAACAGGTATGGAGCTGTTTTGGTGGTTATTACCTATAGAAGTACAACATGAAAGCGTTGCAGTATAAAAGTGCAACAACATTACACAGGGACACACAAGGGGAAAGGAAAGGAAAGAGAAAAGAAAGAAAAACAGAGTACAAGAGTGTGAGGGATCTCACCACCCATAGGTTCTGCAATAAAACTTGGTTGCTGTGCAGTCTTGGATCCAGATCTGGCACGAGGAGTGGGGAGGAAGTCCTGAATAAGTGGTGGGGAGAAGATGGAACATACCATCTCTTTGGTCTATATTCACTCAGGCTCAGGTGAATATAAATCAGGTATCTCCTCACGAGCAGGGAACTCAATGTAAAAATGTGGATCAGAGGTGCCTTCAGGTGAACACTGCTGCCCATCCTAGCAGCCCATTTGAGTCAGTTGTGCCTCATTATGTCCATCAGCAGAGATGAACATGCTCAGGTCACACATGAATTCCTTGGCATTTCTCAGGAGAAGGGGGAAGAATAGGGAGCCCCACAACCCAGGGGTTTGTGTAAGGAGGCACAAAGTAGCATGACAAAGAGCACAATCCCCTCCACAAGATCCAACTCCTATCTCACTCACAGCCTGAACTCGTCATTCACCCGGTGCCTTACCATATCTGAAGTTCAGCCATTACACACCTGAAAGTTCACCTGCTCCATCTCAACCAAGCACCCTGGCATCTCCACAAAGGAGGAATGTTTTGAGTCATTGTCCCTTAAAAGTTCAGTCTACTTCAAAAATATTTCTGAAGGATGGCTGTATATGCAGAGACAATGGCATTCCTGCCCTTTTCCTTTACACCTGAGATTTTAAAACAGATTTATTTTTTTTTTATATGAGTAGGGCATAATGTAGTTTGAAACCCTGATGTTTCTTTTACCATCATTGGTAAGTTGTAACAGCCTGCTTAATTTGCTGTGAGGAAGATTCAGTCTGAGATAAACAATCACAGAATGTTTTCAGAAGTTCCATTTGAGTTACTTTCTTTACCTGCATGAGTTTTTTTGTGTTTCATAGAAATCTTTTTAAAATTTTCTTTTATTTATTTTTGTCTCATGCAAAAGTGAAAAAGAAGAAATACTGGTTGATTTAAATTAAATCAGAATTGCTGGTGTAGTTATATAATTTACTCAGTATCACAGTTGTAAAATGCAATTCCCTTTTGAATAAATCAGTTTCCAGAAGAGAAACAAAACACCATGTATGCTCAATCTTCATGTGTTCTGAAAAACTGAAGTATGAGATCCATCTTGTCATATCTTAGTGTGTGATGAATCACCCCTCCACTGACTCAAGATTCTTTCCACTGGCTACAGAAGGATCCCGGCTCTTTACTGTGGGCCAAATTTTGAAGTTAGGGCTTCTCTCAGTGTCAGTTTCACAGTCAAGAAGAAATATGATGATGAGAAAGAGAAATGATGACAGTTTCTGACTTAGTGGCATATAAGTGCAGCAACTGAATAGTAGGTGCTTCAGCTTTTTTGTTAAAACCACAAAGGATATTAAGGGAGGAAAGATGAGAACATACTCTGATTGGAAGTGTTTGTAGTACCTTACATTGCTCTTCTGAACTCTCTCACATCTGTTTCCAAATGGGCCTCTTCAAGGTTTCTGTCCCAGCTGTTCATTTGGTAAGGGGAAAATACCAAAGGCAAACCAAAAATTCCCTGAAGAACAGTGTCAGTTCTCACTGTGCTTAGATGCACAAATGCCAATTAACAGCTTAAAAAATTCCAACTTTAATTTTCCAGAAAAGTTTGCATAGGAATTTAGGGAGTTTGCCTCTTTAGAAAAGAGAAATCACTGTCAACAGTTGCATATATCAAGTTCCATTTTCTCTTCTATGTGATGAAATTTGGATTACCCAAAAATCTTGCTTTTCATTCATTTAATTGCGTCTGTGACATGTTCCCAGTGAAAGATACTGTTTTTTCTCTCACACAGTTATTTGTCATGCTATTCTCTTCTGCTTTCACAAATCTAAACTCAGTTAAAAAAAATTCATTTAAGTTTGAATTTTTCAGCATGAAATGTTTTGTACTCGCTCCTTTTTTCTTTATCCTGCTTTTCAAAAAATGTGTTTTCAGACAAGAGATGTTCAAAGTGGGTTTATCTTTAACAGGTTTGTATGGCTACACCTTCTTCCAGCAAACTACACAGTGTACATGGGCATTTCACTGCCATTCTGCAGTGTTGGCTTGGCTGATAATTTGTCTTTTGACTGGCTCAAGATCACCTTGCCTCTTTCGTCCCCTTTGTTCAAATGCTTACCCATGTATATCTTTTTATGAGTCATCTCTTTATATTACCCACTCAGGAATATACAATAAACTTTCAGAAAGTAAAAGTTATCAAGTTAATCAAGGTTAATCTCAGTCTTCACTTACCCAGCAGAGAGCACTTTTTGAGTATAAAGCATTATATCGCCATAGTCTGTCATGTTATGGACAGTTCACGAGATTTCAGCAAACTCTGTGCATGTGTCTTCGTGTCATTCCAGCTACAGGACAAGGTGGGCATGTTTTCTCTGTCTTTCACTGAATAGATTTTTTCTAGATCCTGTACCATGTGCATAGGGGCAAGCAGTCCAGAGAATTTAGTGAAACAAAAACATGTGAAGATGAAAAGGAATGTCACATCACCCAATGAGAAGGAGTTGAAGCTACTCAGTGAAGAGGATCTGTTTGTTGGAAAGGGAAAGAGGCATAGAGATGCTTTGATGGAGAAGCAGACAAGTTTCCTTAAGAGCTGTAACATCTCAGTTTAACCACATCCTGTGTAACTTCACAGAAGTTTAAGCTCATTCAGATTTTAGAATTTACTAGAAATTCCTGTCACGATTGATGGATGTTGGAATGGGTGAGGAACAGTTAGACAAATACTTATTTAGACAAATATTTATCTATGAAAACCTATTGAACACAACAAGTTTGGTATTATGAAGTTCCTAGGCTGCAGATACTGCAATTAAGAACTGGGTTAAGTATTTGTACATTTTCCTCTTTTTAATAAGCTTTATCTTGGCATTCTCTGTTAGCTGTTGTTGGTAAGGGCACTAGAGAGGTCTAACTAGCTGTTTCTACATTTTTATTTCCAAGATAATTCATTCTAGAGGACAAAACAAAAAAAGATGCATATCAACTCCAGTTTCTCTTTTTTTGTAATCTTTATAATATTCTTGTGTTATCTTTAAGTCTACAATGTCCTATTATAGGCAAGCTGTGAAACTTTTTCAAATTTCATGTAATTAATGTCATTCTCAGTTTTTCAGTTACATCCATTTCAGTAAAATAATTTCAGAAAGTGACTTGTGTTTTGTTCATTTTTCAGATTCATCTGATTCACTGCATTATATTTATTTTCTCTTGAATATTGACATCAAAATGCAAACCAAACACTGTTTATAGATGATAATAAAAACTCTGCCTTATTGACAGACTGTTGTGTACTCAGACTTCAAATATTAACTATTTTTTCCAGATACTGTTTCTTTTTTGTCTGCTTGTAAAGGTTTCTGAGCCTATTCTAAAGATGTGACTAATGACTAGTCAAGTGATTGATCTCTGGCCTTTCAGGGTTTGGGTCATCTCTCTGGACTGGTGCTGAGTGCCAGGAATTGTTGATAGTGTTGTGAAGTTATGAAAGGAATGTGAACACAAGCTTTGCTCGCATGAAAACAGTTTAGTCAGTGCCATGCCATGTATCACAGACAGTGATAAAGCTCTTCCAGAGAGCACTCCTCTTCCCTCCATAACTTCTTCCCAATGTTGTGCTCAGGATTATTGTAGGTAAACATCATTTTATAGGATATAGGATTGCACCCAGGAACTGCAGCCCTGAAAGGGCAGCACCTTTAGTGCTTCAAGGGAACCACTACTGTGTTCTGGATGAAATCATTGATAGGCTTTGATTGACACAACTCTAGTGTTTCTGCTTTCTCTGCCAGGAAAACTGCTCATTTATAGCTGTAAAAAGGAAAGACTTAATTTATTTGAAATTGTGCCAGTTCCACCCATTATGTGAATGACCACAGAAGATGACCAGGATGAAGGCCAGGGGATTTTAGCTTGACATGACAATGTCAATGATGAGTTATCAATTACTGTATGAATGGGTGGAGGAGTTATTTGACTCCAAAATTTAGTTGTAGAGCTCTGTATACCTGTAAGTACATATTTTATAAATTCCCACCATGATTCATTAGTTGATAAGTATTTTACTAAGATGAGATTGCTGTTTTTATAGCTTATATGTTCCTGTTTAGACTGTGAATAGTTATTCAAAATTGCATTCCTGTATATCAATCTTTTTGCACAGTTTTGTTAAAAGATACTTTGTAGGAGAAGTAAACATTTAGAATGTGTTTGTTATTTAAGTTGCTAGAAAAATAAGAACTTAAAGAGATGATAGACTACAGGAATAAATGCACCCTGGAAGATTGAATACCCTTGAATGCAGAGCAGAAAAAAAACAAAAGAAACAGTGTGTTGGAATGAATAAATGTGTATACTCAGACTCGTCTGGGTTTTTTCCATAGAGATTGCTCCAAGTGTCGACATGTGCAGTGCATCTGTCCAAAACACTGTATGTGTGGAAAAGCAGCATTATAGACAGCAAACATATGGCAAAATGGAACCAGCTCTGATGATAAAACTGAATTTCAGATCCTGAATGAAATCTGTGGTGGTAGATACTCGAAAAAGAGAGACACAGAGTTCA